AGAATTTCAGTTACCTCGGATAGTCCTAGGACACAGAAAAGCATAAACACATCGACTGTACGTTTGCTTCCTCGTCGGCTCCAACCACTGGCAGATATGAACTCATGGATTACAACCTTAAAAATATAAATAAAATTGTGTATTATAGACACACTTGCTTGCCATGAATCTACAAAATTGACACTATTGACACAGTTATTATTTACTGCAAATGTAAACCAACCTCAAACACGCCATGCATCAGCAAGGTCATTTCACCCATCGCCCAGTTTAAGATTTCGCTTGCCATTTTCTTCATTTGTAATTTGTCTAGGGAGTCCGATCTACCAAGGTGACCGCTTCCTCGATAGCGCTTCTGTTTCGACTCCACGGTAGAGTTGAGCTGAAAACACAAAAAATAAAATGCTATCAATTTTTGGATTGGTGTGAGTTAGTGCTTTTTGTAAATTTTTACGATGCAGATATTGTAAGTGGATACTGGCAAATTCAAGTTGTGTTTTGTACTCACAGCGTTAATTCTATTCAGTTGATCTTCAATCTTTCTTTGTGCCTGCATTAATTTTTCTCGATCTGGATTGCGCCGTGGAGTCGTTTTTCGGATCCGGCTTAGAAGTAAGGGATACCTAAAAATACAATCATATGATTAAAAGTTGATATCGTTATTCGGCAACATAATCCAAAATCTTTGGAAATGTAAAAAAAATTTAAATGTTCAAACTATGAAAAAGTTGCCATGTTAAGATTCATGGTCGTATATCCACTAGTCATGAGGAAGGTAGGTAACAGGTTTACTCTGAATGTGCATGAGAGCCAATGACCAGGCGATTGTGCATGATGCATAGTGTCAAACAATAAACTGGAATGCGCATTGTTTAGCAATACTCACTTCATAATCCTTTGCACTGGAGCAAGAAGAAATGAATTCAGGTCCATTTTACGACACTTYGGGTTTTCTCTACAAGTCACCTAATTACAACAAGGTATTGGAGTATATAAGTTACATGAAAGTAACGTTCATGACATATTGTTATGAACTATTGTTGTAAGACTAGACGCACAGTGAATGGCTTACGTTTAGAAATATTTTAAGGAGTTCATTCTTCTTCTGCAAAGATTCCAGAAGTGCAGAGGCGGCATTCTGAGAAAGAAAAGCAATACAATAATTATGAAAAGGGATCAATATCATGATAATGAGTATTCCTTTTTCTTGCCTACCGAGTTTTTACATAAGTTTACATAATACTTACTTGCTTTGTGCAGTAGATTTCATAAGACTGGAAGAAGTCTACACTTTCTAAGAAGATGTTACCAACGTTGACGTGTGAAAATTCCTGAAAGTTTATTATTAGATTTATATGTTAAAGAGGACTTCTTGTGAAAATGTATAATAAACTCATACATTAAGACATAACATATAACAAGATATGATATGAAGAATATAATATTCATAGCCAAATTAATACCAATCAACGAACCTCATTTCCCTCTGAGACAGACTCTTCCAGGGCATTTTGAAGTCGCTTTGAAAACTTTGTACTGACTTCTACAAGTTCCTAAAGATTTACGACAAAATGAATCAGTTGTTCATAGTAAAAAACTATTAATTTATTACCGGGTTATAATTGTTGAGTCATACTGTAAGATTTGACTAAGGAACAAGTCACAAGTGCAAATCCGCTTACCTGAAGATTTAGGAAGATTTCACTCAAGTTGTCAGGCTGAAGAATCCCACCAGATTGCAAAGGAATGTAGAATTCCTATACAACGAGAAAAAAGAAGATGAGTTACATGTAAAAACGTGTTTTAGTCAATTGTTGTCATGGTTGGTTTGATGGTTGGGTCATGTAATGGTTGGCTGGTGAGGTGATTTGTCGGTGTGATTGGATTCTTGGGCAGGTGTTGGTTGGTTGATTATGCTTAATGATTACTTTATAGATCAATGAATACCTCTTTTAGTATCTGTAGATCATTTGCGTAGTTTATCTCTGTTTGTACGAGTTCAATGATGGCTTCCTTCCTCTCAACACGACGCTCGAGACATTTTTGGCAAATTGTTGTCTTAGTTTTGCTTGAGAAAAAAAGGAAAAGTTATAAGCCAATTGGAGGTTACTGATAAAGTTTATTGTCTCCTCACCTTTTCTCAGGTTCAGGAATGAAGTACTTCTGACAGTCCGCACATTCAACCTGTAGTTAAAATTGTAAACAAAAATAAGAATGTAAAAGACAGGAGGTTACTGGCTTTATAATCGAAGCATTACCATGTCTTCTGTAATAGCAGGAGTGCTACTTTTTCTTCTTGTTGAATGAGCGTCTTTTTCCATTTTGCTTTTCAATGCTACTTCTTTCCAGTGACGCGCACTAGCTGCGACCACGGACCAGTGTCTGGAGCTCTTAAGGACAATATCTTCCCAGCTCTGTTTATGATGTCGACCTATGTCTCCACCAATACCACTATCTGTACGTTCTATCTCGGTGTCGCTCTTTTTGCGCATAGTTTCAGCTTAAAAAGAAAGACCCTACTAGTTTAGCTTCAGAGGTAATTGTTGATAATCAAGCAAAACGCTTTTTAGAGAAAATGTTGCTAATCAGAAACATCGATTCAAATTGTGCTGTTTTCTTGTTCCAGTTTTAGACATCACTTATAAAAACATATTTTAGCAGTAAATTTCTACAATATATAAGACAACACATACCAGATTCCTTGTCATCGAAAGGATCCTCCATGCCCACCGAATCATTTTCAAAGTCAAACATATGTGCTGATCCACTATCTACGCTGATGTTACTATGGAAACTCTCCCATCGCCTTCTACTTCCAGATGAACGTTCGCCTGTACTGTGAATACTAGAACTATCATCCAGTTCATTATCTGAGCAAATACTGCTCGCAATGCTTAACAGACTCGTGTGTATGCCACCTTTCTGAAGCAGACCCTGTGGTGATGGCTCTAAAGACATTCTGCTTTGARCATCATCGTCTACGCGCAAGTCATTCCTAACACTTCTTGGCGATTTCTTTTCCTTCTCGCCGTTCATYTTCGACGATCCCTCATTGGGAGAATGACCATCATTATCTTTATTTTGCTGTTCTTTGACTTTTCTCCTTGTCAACGGAGAGTTAGTGGGAGATTTTACTAATTTTAACCTAGTTTTTGCCGCTTCCCAAAGAGTTCTAGAGGCGRCCTTCTTCTCGCCGGAGTCTATCGAAGCAGACACATCGTCTGGTGAGGTTGACATTGAAGATACACTAGTTTGTCTTGTTGTTTTATAAACCTCCGCTATTGATGTTAAATCAGTCTTACTGGCGGTTAATTCTCTATACCTGGGACTAAGACTTGGGCTAGAGCGAGAGGAAAGTTCCTCTTTAATAATCGTTTTTGTCCTTTCATTGTTGTTTTCATCTTCAGTWTTTTCTAGTGAATCTGGACCAAGAGTTGATTTGCTTTTCCGAGTAAGCGTTGGAGCAACAATATTGGGTTTTTCAACTACGGCTGCTGATGCTCGTCTGCGCTGTCCTCTTGGACTCCGTCGCGTTGGCCTTGCCTCTTTTGGGGACGATGGCGACGATTCTTCTCGATTGCCAACCTTGTCATTGTTCTTTGACTTGTCTTTTTTCTCCAWTGATTCGAGGAAAGATTCAATTTTAGAGGAAATTCGGAGTTCTTTGTCAGTCTTAGTTGATGTGTTTCTGGTTTCTTTTCTTTTTTCACTTCTTTCGTAAAGTCCATATTTCAACATTAGATTGTGGATGACATCATTGTGTGAATAATTGTTCTTGTCTTTCAAGATTTCACCGTTAGTTGTTTTAGATGTGTCTTTGTTGTCTTTCAACAACTCTTTTTGAATAACTGTTTCTCTMAGAGTAGTTTTTAAGTCCCTTTCACTGTAACTTCTCTGATGCTGTTTGTTCTTCGATGTTTCCGAAGTCGAATTTTTTATACTCTHTACTTCTTTGCTCTCGATTTTAGAATTTTTTCGTTTGAATTCTGCAAATGACGGGATTGGAACTTGCGCGAGTGGATAATACTTTCGTCTTTCTGTATTCTCAATTGTTGGTGTTGAAGATCTGGAAATCCGTCTTGGACTATCGTCTGATATGGCAAGAAAGCCCTTTGAATCGTCAAAATTAATTTCTGAGAACGACCGACTTCTATGCAAWGATGAKTCTCTGGATTCTCTTATATTGTCGCTTSTAACCACATGACCAAATTCTGACGGTCCATGCGAGTGATACGAGTACTCGCTGTTGCTGTTGTAGTAATGATCAGCGACATTTCTTGAAAATCCATCAGTTCCRTATAAGGGAGGCCCATTAAACGACAATGGGGAGGCGTACCTACTATCATAGTTWCCTACTTGWTGGTTGTTYGTATACCCATACCCATGCTGMCTTTCRAAAAATTGGGGATTTCCAGGAGGATAAGATAGATGTTGGGATATCTTGCGCTCGTGTCGCCCGCCATCAAAYCCGATCATATTCCTGGAGTCTGTGTTTGAAAATGATGATGTTCTTGGACGATTGTAATCCGTATTAATACTATGAAGATCAGCCATTGATTGGTAATGGTGGTTATGATAGTACGGTTCTACGTTAACAGGTTCTCGCGTCCATGGACTTGGTTCAGGTTCTCGTCCAAACATCGACAAATCAGGTGAAGATAAGGCGCTTCKTAGTCTTCGAGGTGGTGCCGGCCGTGTTGATGGGTGTGGCGCATGATATGCYGCAGGGTGTGGCGGGCTATATTGATGAGTGTCCATGGAGTGATCATAATTGATAGGGATTCCTGGAGTTGAAGGCCGCACGAAGGAGGGAGGGGGAGGGGAAGTTATTGGTTCGACGTAAAGACATGCTTCGCTGCTGGTCTTRCGGAGGCTTGGACGATGAGGTACTGTTTGTGTAATGGTAGGAGGTACAGTCAAACGAGCTTGTATCTATAAAATACACATTCAAATCAACTAAAATTGTTTTGCTGCATATAAAACGGTAAGTATACTCTTTAATTATATCATACTGTGATATTWATTCCAATATATAGTGCAAAATATACTGATTTTTACCAAATGATATACATTGAAGCCGAACAATGCAACCATACAGGAGCAAATTCAATAGACATTTTATCACTTACCATTTTCCAATTAATTCCAAGGAAGAATGGATGTGTTTTGATATGAGATGTGTTGTAAAACTGGCCTTTGAAAAGTCTCGTTATCAAGTCTCGTGCAAAAACAGACAAAGAACTTGGCAGAGTGAACGACCTCGAAGCAACATAAGAAAGCCTGACAAAAAAACAAAAACAAAACAAGATGAACACAAAAGAACAAAATGAACACTACAAAGAAAAAGGAAGAGAAKGGAGGAAAGGAAGTCCAAAGAAGAGAGAGGAACGAGCTAGAAAAAAGAAATGAAAGCGTGAAAAAGGCAAAAGAAGCAAAAACCACCCGTTTTCAATTATTCATGCAYGGTTCCCGTTATTTGTTTTGACGGCAAACTTTAACAAAGACTTCTACTCARATTTGCTTGCGTCAGAAATCCGTAACCATCAAATCTCTTGATAGCTTGTTTACAATAATAGAAAAGAAAAATTAACCTTTGGCTTGTMGAGGATTTCAATCTGCATCTCATTGTATCGCCAATTTTTGTATCCGTCATAAAGGATTTACTATGTTAATCGGATATAAAGTGTCGCTCAATGACTATTATTGATGTTGGTATAGTAAACTRAGTTAAACTGAACCAGTATTAATAACCAGTAACTATTAAACATTTAACATAGAGAAGATGATGACACCCTGGGAATTATGACAGACATCTTTAACGACGCTGTTGTCATATTCTCGAGGTTCCCGGCAGATTCTGCGAGTGTATTATGTCATTGCAGACTTACACAAAACCCTTTTCGGTCATTTCTATCGACAATTTTTATTCAAAGTGTCTTTAATGCAACCCGCGTGAGAGGGCTTTTTATTGTAAATGGTTTACACACAACAGCCGTGTGGTCGTCGGCGAGCCATGAGGCAAAGCAATCCTAAACTTGAAACCCATTATTGTTCAGTGAAGTAAAATGCCATGATTAGATTGTCACACAGAAATCAAAGATTACAAAATACTTGCACAGAAGTGGAAAACAATTAGCAGGCAATTCTCACTTACCCTTYCTGTGGTGAASCTTGATTGTTCATCGCAGTTGTAAAGTGCTCTTGTGATAACATTTGCAATATCGCTAATCCTAGYAGTTTRAAATCAGTTTTCAACTCTCTTTCCAAACATTTTCCATGAGAATTTTCACAGTTGCGACCATTATCAAAGCCATACAAATTGCAAACGCATTCCTCTCGTGTCCAATAAGTTTTTCCACAAAAGTTTCTCCATAAAACAACGTGTCCTGTGTTATCAATATAAACCTTGTCCAAACCAAGGTCACTACCATAGACGCAACCATGTAAGTGAAGCTCGTCCAAAGCGTTAAGAATTTCACTTGCATARAATTGTACCACGACCTCTGTCAATGGGCCATGCGAACGACATAAAGAGCTCAAAGTTCTTTCTCCAACGTATTCGAGAATGTAGTACRATTTAGAACTAGTTCGAAAAGTAAACTTCATGTTAACCAAGAACTTAGAGAGGTTATAGCGGGTTTCCTGGAGATTTGTACTGATGACTGCAYGTGAGTTGTTCTTGTTGCGSGCAGCGACTTCCATGACATAAAAATGRCCACTTGTTTTATGGCGAACTTTATAAAGTTTAGACTCTTCATTTCGTGCRATAAACTATTGAATAAAAGACTTGTGTGAGTATTATAATCAGAGTAAATAAGACAAACGATTATCTTGAATACATTCAAGACAGCTTTATTAAAAATATCCTAATCTAACGGTTTATATTAATGAAGAACTCTTAAACCTACCGCTTCCACTTCAAAACAGTCTGTTCCATGATTACTTCTCATGGACATTTTGCCYCTTGTTAAAAGTTAGACACAAACTTCTCTAGCAACAGAACTAGTTCTTGCTTTGTGGACAGGACGTCACCTTGAACAGCCATTGTTCTGAAAACTTCACAAACTTTTACCACCAAGAAGTTAGCGTGTTACTRCCCATAACACATATCGCTTTGATAAAGCTTTTCTATATTCATCTACCATATATGATTTTCTCTACATCCCTACATTCTCAAGCACTGCTAATCCTATGAAAATCGTACAGTAATCCCTTCAAAATAACTTATTTCCATAATTTGATTGACAATCGTGATTGTGTATAGCCGACCTCACTCATAATTAATGGTCTTCGATTATAATAACCAAGACCAACACTCAGTGCAACAAGTAGATGACACGACAACAAATCTATTGCTCTTCGAATAATAACTATTAATAGATTTTGAGCTACCATGCGAGAAGAGAAAGTTTAGAAAAGTTTTTTATGCGATGTCTCGTGGACTCACAACAACACTTTCGCTTATATCAAAGCTCTTKTTTTTCTTTTCGAGAATATTAAAAGATATTTCCATTGTCCAGGAACACAATGGTGTTCTTAAAAGAATAAAGGACGACATATAGATTGAACATCCTCCAGGGAATTCAGTCTAACGCCGAACATGATTTGAAGCTGTGACGCTKTTATGACWTCAAACCCTTTGTGCTGTTGTCCTACAAATCCTATAATTACGATATCGCCTACACACTTCAACGTACTT